TTACCCAGGGGCTTCAGAGAGGGAGGAAGCCTCATGTGTCCAAGGCCTGTTCTTGGAGAGGTCCCAGTGAAGATTTATAGCAGGAGAAAGAGAGATTGTTGCCAACACCTTTTTGAGTGGCTCACCAGGCAGCACCAGTGCTGCAGTGGGTGTATAGCACCAGCCTTCCGAGAGGCTCAAGGGGCTCATAGCTCTGCCTTCACTGCAGACTGGGGTGGGCATTTACTCTGCCTCGACACCTTGTCTTTCAGGAGCTATGCTCAACCCTGGGCGAGATGCTCAGCTGGGCTCAGCGCAGCCTCCAACACCACCTTCCAGGGACAGTGCCTTAAAGCTGCCGCTGGATAAAGCTGGACTGCCAAAGACTGGGACAACCCCACTGCCAGCATCTCCACAGTGTGCAGCCAACAGGGAAATGGTGTCTCCAGCTGAGGCCCCCATCATCCTCAGCTCCCCACGGACATCCAAGACAGACAGCTACGATCTGGTGTGGAGACCCCGGCCTGACAGCAGAGCACCCATCCTCTATTATGTGGTGAAGCATCGCAAGGTATCGTTGTTTTGCCCTGCGCCCGTCTTTCCTCTGCACCATTCCACACCGGGCTGCTGGCCTCACTGCAGGTTTTCACACTTCAGGAGCAGGTGCATTGGGGCAGGGGCACCCACTGCTCACTGGTGACACTGGGTAGTGCCACTGCCTCATCTGCAGCCTCAGCCTGTGGAGGTACAGGCTGTGAGAGGAGGTTTGCCAAGCTGTCCTAGAAGAGCCCATAGTGGTGCCCATCTGCCTAAGTATGCAGGGGGCATATGCAAACACATGTATTTCCAGTTTGAAGAACTTCCACTTCCAATTCCCAGCTGTTTGCTTATACAATCAGGAAGTCCTGAGGGCAGATTGAACAGTGACTTGCTCTGTGATGCTTTTGTCACAAGCCATGGGACAACTCTACCTTGAAAGGCTCGGGCTGCAGGACACAGGGCAGCAGCCTCTCTGCTGCGCATACCTGCCCCGCTTAGCAGCACTGAAGTACCCATGCTCAGTGACTGAGGAGCCAGCAAAAGGCATCATAACCATGCTAAATCCTTTGGGAATCTACTCAAGCATCACCTTTATTCTGGAAGCTGAAAGGCGGTGCAGAGTGGAGCATGTCTCTTGGCTGGGGGCAAAGCATGAGCGCACAGTGCGCTGTCAAGCCTTGTTTGAGCCCAAGGGCTCCTGCCCTCTGTGGGCAGCATCGTGGCCACAATGTGGGAAGAGCTGTAGCCCAGCAGTTTCTCTGAATAGCAAAACATTGTTTAGCTAAAAAATCTGCTTTTGAGGTATAGACCATCTCTTTTCCCAGTTTTCTGGGATAAGCTAGGAAAAAATAGCTTCGATTTATCTGTTTGTTGCTTGTATTTCCTTTAGGTAGGCAAGGAGTTACAGTAGAGGCAGGTTTTGCTCTGGGGTTTGAGTACATTCCAGATCTGGCATGTTTTTGATTCCCAGACACTGCAAGGCACCGTTTTCAATTACATGTGAATATATGTGTCTGTTTTCCTGGAATTGTTTGATTTTTGTGAAAATGCATAGGTATGATAGGAGACTGTTATAATTCCTACACATGCATGATTTTTTTCTAAACAAAATCTAAGCTGAGGGTTTCAGCTAACCCTCTTTAAAGAACCCCTTAAAACAAAGGCAGAACATGCCAACACAAGAACACAATAGGGCAAGCTTAAATAAAAAGCAAAAGATGCCAAATGCCTCACCAGACTATGGGTTGTCTGCCAAGAAGAGATTTGTCCCCCGACGCTTTATCATGTAACTGCCATTTCTGCATGCGATCTTCACTGGCAGCCTGGAGTTTGTCCATATTTTGCTTGTTTTCACCTGGAAGGGGCTGTAGGGCAGCGGAGGTCACCGTGGGTCACTGCAGTTTGCAATAATATGTTTCCAGTGTAGTCCAAATTCTCAGCTGGAGACTCTTTCTTGGGATGCTTAAGGATTGTGTGGAAAGGAATTAGTCCCAATAACCCCTTAAACATATTTAGAAAGAGCCTCTTTCTATCAGAGATCCTTAGGATCAAGTTATATAATGATCTGGTTTTGACATCTCCAACTGGAAAAGCATGTGGGTAGAGAGGGAAGGAATCAATTCAGCAACAAAAGAAAAGGCCCTTTGTGTGAAAGATGGCTATAGGGAAGTAAAACCTACTGACAGGAGGTTTACATTTGTACTGGGCAAGGGTCTGCTTCTCCTCTGGAAAATACCTGTGGATGTATCTTTTCCCTTGCTCGTACACTGCCCCTGAAGCCTCAGCAGCCCACAGGCACTCGGATGCCACACAGCCGTTACCTTTGTTTGTTAAGAATGTCTCTTTCTCTCTTCTGGGCATTAGCAGTGTCCAGGGCTCCCCTCCCTGGCCTCACAGCTCCGCAGGCTCAGGAATAAAAATAAAACAAGGCAGGCATTAATCAGTCAGTGTCAAATGCTTGGAGAAGATGAATGATACGGCAGAGTCTTGGCATTTCCGTTCTGTTGCGTTGCCTGCATTGCTAATGCGCCTCTTGGCACCGGGTCACTTCAGTGTCCTGCCTGTTGGCCTGCAAAAATATTATCCTTGCAGCTGGGGAGGAGGAGGAAGGTCCCACCTTCCCTCCCCCTGCTCACAGGGCACTGGGCATCACCAAAAAACAAACTGTGCTTCCAAGCCTTTCTGGGGGCCACAACCATACATGGCTGTTTTCCTGCAGAAACCTGTGCTCAGATCGTAGAATCAGCTAGGTTGGAAAAGAAATTTAAGATCATTAAGTCCAACCAGGACTGCCAAGTCCACCACTAAACCATGTCACTATGGACTTCATCTACACAGTTTGTGAACACTTCCAGGGACTGCCCCCTTCCCTGGGCAGCCTGTTCCAATGCCTGATCACCCTCTCAGTCAAGAAATTTTTCCTAATACGTAGTTTAAACATCCCGTGGTGCAGCTTGAGGCCATTACCTCTTGTCTTATCACTTGTTACTTGGGAGAAGAGACCAGCCACCTCCTCTCTTCATCCTCCCTTCACGTAGTTGTAGAGAGCAGTAAGGTCCCCCTGAACCTTCTCTTCTCCCTCATTTGATTGCAGGGAAGGCAGCCCTGGTTGATACACAACCTGCCATGAAATCTCCTGAGCTTGGTGCAGGCAAGAAGCCCAGCCTGCCCCAGCTTTGCAACGCCCGCATTGGTCTCTCAGCAGGTCACCAACGCCTCGGACAGCTGGGCAGTGAGGGACGTCCCAGCCTCGCAGCACCGCCTGACCCTCACCAGGCTGGACCCTGGCAGTCTCTACGAGGTGGAGATGGCTGCTCACAACTGTGCTGGCGAGGGACAGACGGCCATGGTGACCTTCCGGACTGGTAAGGGTCGAACTTTTCCCTGGGCGGTCTGCTCCGAGTTCAGGGCAAGGCCCCTCCAAGGAGTCCCAGCCCAGCCCCGAGGCACCAGGCTTAGGTCAAAGGGGCTGTTTGTGCTCTGGAAACCCATCTGCCCATAGAGTGACTGTCAGAGGGGAATGTGGAGGGTGGGACTGAAACAGGATGAGGAAAAATCAGGTTTCCCCTCTGCCTGGGTTGGAGTAAGTCCCCTTCTCCCTTGGTGTCTCAGTTGGACACCTGCAGAACCATAGAAAATAGGTCTGGTGGGGATGTCAAGAGGTCATTTAATTCATCCTCTGCCTGGAGACAGGATCAGCCCTTGGGGGTTGTTCCTGCCAGGTGTTTCTCTAATCTGTCCTTAACAGATTGTCTTGTATTGAAGGGAACTCCAGGCCTTCCCACACAGTCTGCTTGGTGCAGAGCTGTCTTTGCCACTAAAAGGATGTTCCAAATGTCTACACTAAGTCCCCTTCTCCCCTGGCTGCTTTTCATGTCTCCAGCAGGTGTGGGGAAAGGCATTCCCTTTGTAGCAACCTTCCCCATGGCAGTGAGTTTGCTCACATATCCCTTCAGGCCCCCATCTTGTGCTAATTACTACCTTCCCGGGCAGAAATCTAGCAGCATTTCAAGAAAACCAATCAAAAGTTTTAGAAAATTAAGTATGAGGGGAACCTATTAACAGATTAACAAACCTGCCTCTTTAGCTTTAGTTACTGCCTGCAGGTTGAATGCTTTGAACCCCTAGGGCCATTAGAGTCCAGGAGTAGTTACCTCAGCATCGTGGCTGGGAATATTTTCTTTGCTCATCACAGCAAAAATTAACTCTGATCCATGTCTCCATGTCACTGATGCCACCTCTCCCTTCTGCACAGGCCGGCGCCCAAAACCAGAGATTGTTGCCAGCAAAGAGCAGCAAATCCAGAGGGATGACCCAGGCACAAGCACTCAGAGCAGTAACCAGTCTGACAACAGCCGTCTGTCCCGTAAGGCCCTCCCTCAACTGGGCAAGGAGGGAGAGGAGGGGTGCTGGATCTCTTGTGGGTGGTAGTGGCCAGGCCATGCTGCGGGTGCAGTCTCCGCTGGGTCTCCAGCACTTGACAAGGAGGGGTCCTTCTCGGACACCCCTGCTAGTGCATTACAGGCAGTCTGTCTTAGAGGAGCAGGCTCATCCCACTGCCTGTCCCCACCCGTAATGTAAGAATTTGTCAGAAACTCTGTCTTGTGCTGGGTTCAGAAAGCCCTGTGAATGTGTGGGGCACAGGACCAGCAAGCTGCCGTGCACCAGCGACTGCTGGGGGAATGTGAGGCAGGAAGGAAACCAACCCCCTGCAGGCCCTGGCATCCTCCTCTCTCAGGGAAGCCCTGACAAGGGGCAGTTGTGCCCATTCTAGTGGTGCAAGGTATTTTGCTGCACTGGAGAAACATCAGCTCCTTACTCGTTAATCCATTTCATCGTTTCTCCCATCTTGCATCTGCCATTATTGTTACTCACCAGAGCCATTATCCTTTCTGTGAAATTCTGTCCTTCAATCCTGACCCTTTCTTGTGAAGTCCCCTCCTTCAACTACCCATACTTATTCATGTGTTGCCTTTTCTTTCATCTCCACAGCTCCTTTCATCTCTTG